GCCAAATTTGGCCCCTGTGTTCAATCCCTGAGGCCTCAGATGAATCAGCTAAACCAACAGTCACTAATTCCAGTCGGCCTGGATTGGTTTATTAAAGGTCTCATTGCAGTGAGTAGGTGCTTTTCACAGCCTAACCACTTTCCTTGCTCCTCTCTCGTGTGACTCAGACAGAAATACATAATCTTCCCACACACCCCCTTAAGCTCCCCAGAAAACATCATATGCCCAAATCAGATCCACGCTGTAATTAGATAGAAATACATATGGATCACACATTGAGATCCAAGAGTGGCTGATGGACGTATAATTAGTACGGATTTATGCAAATAGGTCATAAGGGAAGGGGAAAAGGCACATGGGAGTCTTGCATTTGGAAAGCGAAGCAGTTATATTTATAGTTTTAAAAAAAAGCGTGAAGTGACGTTTCACTGACCTTTCAATCACCTAGCAGCCTACCTCCTCTGCCAACAAATTTGGTCTCAAAGGGTCACGATAAGTGTGAGATAAAATCAGAAAGAGGCTTTAAGGTCCATTGTTAACAGTCTTAGTGTGAGTGATAAAAGCGAGCACGTTTCTATCACATTAGTAAACATATGGGTTAATGGATTAGAAGATCCCTCTTCGAAGTTTTTTTTTCTTCTCCCCCCTCTCTCTCTTCGTTTTTTTAGGGAATCACAAACTCCTCCTCTTCTAAACTCTGTTACGGGTCTGGGAACTCCCTGCTGTATGTATCCTGATTAGGTGAGCAGAGAAGGCGTGCGCCTGAAGAGGGGCAGAGAGAAAGAAGCCGCAAGAAGAGCGGGGACGCCGAGAGGAGCTGACGGAGCATTAATGAGATATTGGCCGCTTAGAGTTACAGGGATGCAACTGTAGTTTTACTCCCCACTGTTTACAGGCTTGATCTACGGACTAGAAAGCAAAACATTTGGCCAATTTCGCCATTCAAAACTAACTTTAGTGGATTAATTTATTGTCAAAAATGGGCTTGGTGAGATTTCTCACAAAGACGCCGGGGATAGTAGCCTTTCTCGCACGCTCATTCGTTTGTATTATCGGGCTATTACTGACTCTTTCTAAGCCTGCCTGCAAGGCTTTCAACTTGGATGTGGAGAACCCAGCTGTTTACAGCGGACCCAATGGGAGCTACTTCGGATATGCAGTTGACTTTTATTTGTCTGATTCTGGCAGGTAAGTGTGCTTAATATAGAAAACAGAAAATGTAACTGCAGAGCGTTATGTAGTAGAAAATAAATAAATAAAATATATAACATAGTTTCCGTATAAGGTCTGAAACATTTGAGGTTTATCTGGGCAATTCAAGTTTCCCAGTTGTACGCAAATATTGCGCACAGATTGCAGTGTTCATTGAAGTATTTCGGAACTTCTGGCCAAACTTCAGCCATCTACAGCTCACCCGTTAAAGTCAGAAGTTTCCAATAGGAAACACATTTCATTTGTGGGATGTTGTTTTGGCTCGGAAAATCGGGGTTTTGTGTGTATACTGTGCTTCCTGGACGCATGCCTTGCGCACAGCGCGCACACGGTCAGTCTGCCTACAACTTACTGCAATTGAATTTATCCAGAAAATTGGATTTTTTGTTGTAAGTGTTTTCTGAAATAAAGCCCACATAACTCCAATATAAAAGACTGAAAGCTTCAGTCTTTTATATTGGGATGAACCGAAACAAAGATCGGAACATTCGGAAATCTCCCTCAAAGCTTAATCTCATTGTCCCACCAAATTACAAAATTAAGATGACCTTTTAATCCGCCCTTGCCTCGAAACCCCAGAACAAGCCACCTCACTGCAACCTTTAACGATCACATCTCGGTATTAAATGCTGTGGCTGATTGTAATGCTTCCTGGTTCATCTGGGATGTGATCCCAGTGACTCTTAGCATGCAGTGACCGTCTCAGTATTCTTCCCGAGGGGTTTTTGACATCAGTCACTTTTGGAAGTAAAACTTTGGCAGGCATGGCTGTGACCAGGACTTATACTCCAGTATTCTGTGGGGAATATAAATAAGGGGTGGGGGAGGCTCTGTCCCAGGATCATATAGTCTTTCTACCAGCTGGAATGCAGGAAAAGATAAGACATAGATTACATTAGTTCCTGACAGTTCTGCATGTGTGTTTGTTTTTTGTGTTGCTGACCATTCACTATATTTTGGTGAGACTTCCACCCAAACCTGTAATTGCAGTAATCATTAACAAAATGTTATACAGCCGGAGTCAGGACTTCACTCCAATGTAATCACACTCTCTGGCTGACGATGTGTCTGCTGAACAGTTTCTCAGACCACTGTTCAAGCAGCCAGCATGCAGCGATTTGAGAACGGGCTTTGTGCCGAGTGGGCCGCGAGCATCAGCTTTAGTTTCCCTGTTTCTCCTCCCCACTTCCCTGGACGGCAGACTCTCAGACATGAACAGATTTCCTTCTCTTCTATGGCCCTGACTGTCTCTTTAAACTCCTTCTGCTATTGGTTTTTATTTCCCTGCCTGGGAAGCAGGGGTTTTAGGAGAGCTGTATGATTTAGAATGTGAAGCTTGCATGCACAGATCCCTCTCCCCCTCTCCGGCTTTCCCCTCCTTATTTCCTCCTATGCTGATGTCATTCTGCAGGCTTTTTAATTCACCCATCGCCTAAACCTTCCCCCACTGTCTAGCCTCTCTCCCCATCATAACTCCTAGTCTCATTAAGTATCAGACACTGTAGACGTCATCTTACCGATGACTTAATCTGAACTTTTTTACAGTTGAGTCGCTCTGCTCATAGAGGCGGACGTGAGACAATGGTTTATATGTCCAGGACAAGGATATTGCTTAAATGTAGTTTCCTAAAACACACTGCCCTGTAATTTTCCTCCTGATGATCTGTGTTCAAAAGGCAGACATCAAATAAAACGAAAGTCTGAGAGAGCACATTTAAAACCATTGCTCATCGCTTTATCTGCAAACCACATTCATCTGCCACATTTCATCCACACTTTCTTAGAAGTGTACGCATCAAACATTATCAGCAGTGACATGAAATGAGTTCCTATTATCTCTTGTTTTGCCATCACATCATCATCGTCCACAATTTTTGGAGCCATAAGATGTGGGGGAGTATCTGGAACCACTGTGAGGTCAGTTGAGGGTTGCACAAAGAGATTCTTCTTGTCAGGATGAACTGCTGTGAGCCTGGCTCCAACCTTTAGGTAAAATTATTGCTGCTTTTCATCCATGCAGATTGCAGATGTGGACTTTCTCCTATCAATAAAGCTGCTGTCAAGTCAACAAAGAAGTGGGCTGCTTTCACCCAGTTTGATGATCCTTGACAGCTAGTTTATATATGTGGGCCTGCCATGCCCTTTGGCATGACATAATAAAGTTAAATTTAGACATTTGTGGATGGCCCCCCATGGAAGGACGCCTGAGGATAGAACTATGTGTGACAGCTCTTGTCAGAACAGGGCAGGAAGAGCAAGAGGATATATGGTTCCCTGTTGTGTTAGCATGTTTCTCCATGTTGAGTGAAGATGGACATTTCACAGGCTTGCTGTTTTCTGTGTACATCAGTCCCCTTGTGTACCCTCCTCTACATGGACTTTGGAGGGCTTACTCTTTCCTCAACCACTTAATCACAACCACTAACTGCTCTTTCACTTTCTCTGGTGTCTGGCATGGATAAGGGAGTGGATCATACCGAGATAGAAAAGGTTAAAGATCAGGAGCTGTAAACAATAACAGACCTCGCCTGGAGTGTATGAGCAGAAGAGACAGGTTGTGATGTGTTTCAGTGATGTGTTTGGCGATATGGATTAGCTTAGCAAGCCCTGTGCCTGTCCTGGTTTGGCCGTGACAAACACATGGCAAGGTCAGCCAGTCCATGTTGGTAACTCTCCTACAGTTTAATCTCTCAAACAGTGTTAGAGTTAAACTAATATTGACACTGGACTGGCTGCTAATGCAGCAGTGTTTTTTCTGTGCCTATGCAGGGGTCGCTCTCCATATATGATCAGTCTTATTTCTGTTATTGTTTTCATTGGTGTCCTGTTCTATAGACCTGGTTCTAAATCAAACCAGTAAGTGTTTGAGCTGCAGCACAGCACAGCTTGTATATTTGGGTTGCCAAGCTTTTCTTCATCCAGGTTCTCGTTGTTACGTGCAGACAAAGGGGCCCTTTGTCTAATGGCAGAATTTGTTTACCATTTTCCACTGGAGGAGCTTTTACTGTGATTCATTTCTTTTTTTAATTTATTAGCCTTAAAAAGCAGCTTTAATTTTCTGTTGTCAAATGTTGTTTTCACCTACTGGCGAAATATTCATGCAGGTTTTTGTGAAGTCAGGCGGGAATAGTTAACGCGGTTACACTGTAGTCTCTTTTTGGGTTTTGCTGTTTTTCTTTTAGTAAAAGATACTTTTTTATAATGCGTCTCTGTGTGTTGCAGTGGAAACAGATGTCAACGTGGATGGTGATGATGGGCCAGTGGACCCCACTGTAATGTCTATTCTATTAGCCATGTCTCGAGGATGTCACGTTTACTTTGGTTTTGGAATGGAGCTAGCCACTGGTCAGGGCTGCCCTGACTGATGCTTCAGATTTAATGTCTCACTGCCAGCAAGCCTGGTTTGTTTTACCTTGAAGCATGAATGACTCACTTCTATAGTAATCTGATAAGAGCTGTCCTTTATATGGCAATAAGCACATGACGCCATTGTCTTCTTGTGAAATTCAAATTAGATTCAGTTTTATTTTTTTTTAGGAATATTTAGGTAACATTTAGCCTTTCTTGCCTATGAATGTGAGCTTCTGTATATGCATGTGTGGCTGCAGCAGGGGTCAGAGGGGTGGAGAGGCAAAGTGCTCCAACAGCTGCAATCCCCCATGTTTAATACAACAGCTTCTCTATTCTGAGGTGAGAGCATTAGACCCCCTGATGTGGCCATTGTGGAGAGGTGTGAACCAGCAGCAGTAAAATCCCTGCAGAGGACTGTGAAAGAGGAAGAGACTGTGATCGTGGTTGGGGATGGGCAACAGTTTGGTATGAGAAAATACAAAGATGAAAATCTGAGTCATTTTGGATGTTTTTCTTAGTAGCTGGGTGTTTTAAATGTCTTGCTTGCCACTTGTGAAACAACTTGACACATCGGTGGTTTTAACAAAACAGCTGCTGCTTTCCCCACAATCACTCTAGTGAGTTCAAACTGATTGCTGCTTGTTGAAAAGTTGGAAGACAAGGCAACGATCGCTGAATGAACTTGTTGTCAAATTGCTGATCCGCGTAACAGCTCCTGGTTGAGAGCTGTGAAGAGAGTCAGCTGCTGAATAGCATAAAGTATTGAAGCCTAAGCTGTTATTTCTGGTTGTGACATCTGCTTGGATGCGCACACATCTTGCCTGTGTGACAATAAACAACATTATTTGGCTACCTTAGCTAGCAGTGCCTCAATTTCCAGGCCACCTGTTGCCCGGCTATATTATCCTTCTGAGGATACAGAGGAAATGGTTTTGCTGTGATATGGGATCAGATCCTTGAGAGACTGGGCTGTTTATCTTATCATCACTGGTGGGTGCATTTTCAGATCTTAATGACTTCTTTTCAAGTCAGTGCTGAGATCTGGAAATGTCTGTAAATTGTTAAAAAAAAGGGACATAACTTGCTCTAGGCTTGTAGAGCTACATATAGATCTTTCCCCCGTCCTGCAACTTACAGTAACATCTGACTGTTAAGAAAAAGGTGGCCTCTGCTCAGCGTAGTAGACTTACTGTAGTCAGCACGCGCCAACCAAACACTGCTACTCTCATCATATTCAGGCTCCTGGACAGCAGCACTGACAACATGTGTGTATGTGGTGTGTGTGTGTGACTAGACGAGCGTCCATATGGCAGCTGTAAGGACTCAAACAGCTTCTGTCTGGCCTTGACTTTGAGAGTACTATCCTATTTGTATGGGTCCATGTGATCTGCAATAAATCATCAGACACTACTGCCTCTCATTTCTGTCATTCAGCTGATCTCACTTCTCAAGTGTCAGTCACGCTACAGTTGGAAATCATTCAGCTTTTCTTATACGTGTTCCACATTTGAACTTGCTTTCGAATTTTGTCTCTGCTCCCGGTGATCCAGGTTTCATTCAAACTGTTCATGAGAGGGACGTTTAAATCTCTTTTTTTCACTGAAGGAATGAGAGCAGCGAAGGTCATGAGCTGTCTCTGGCTTAGATCAGATCACTGCATGTGAGATCCTTTTTCTGATATGGAACCACTCCAGTGTTTAACCATATCCTAATAGGTTAGTGCAAACTCTGGGGCACACGTGTTTTACTTAGGTGTTGCTAAGGTTCAAGGCCCGCTGGTTCTTTTCTCTGGCCCTCTTTGTGCACAAGAACCGTAGCATTTGTTGAGCCGTGTTTATGACTGCAGATGGTGACTGCAGCCGGCACTGGAGGCTTAAAATGCGATTGTAATTTTTCCCTTTTCGAGCTTAAATCTTTTTTTTTTTTTTAATAGTGTTCAAATGACATCAGCCTTGCAGCTGGGTGGAAGACAATTAAATGTGGAATGGGGGGAAAAATGCTGTGCTGAACAGGAGGGGGGTAACAGAGGAATTTGACTGCTGACAACTTCCCTCTGTAACCTCATCATAAAGCGTATTACTTACGGCTACGCACAGTTGTGTCACATCAGCAAGTTCCAGCACTCTGTATCACCCTTAATTTCTCAACCCCACATAAAATAGTGGTTGCAGTCTGGCAATTATGGCGTGGTGAAATGTTTTTTTGCCGAATGTCCCCTGATTCCTGACCTTCTAATGAGACAAACCCAGTACTTGGTTACAGTGAAGCTGTTGTTTACGCATTCCTTACTTGCAGCCTAAATCGTTTAAACTAGTTTAATTAATGCTTAATTGTCAGCTGGGTGGTGCGCATCATTAGTGGCTGCTGTAAGGCAGTTGGTGGGACACGAAGAAGCCGCTAATGCTTTTCATCTGCCCTGACTTTCCCATTAAAACATTGCTCAAATCTCTTTGTGTGTTGTGAAATTGGCTTGCCATTTGTTCATAGCAGCATGACCAAATGAGCACACCGATCGGTTTGAGATGATCACATTTGACCTTTTTATTGCCTGTCAGATGGATACTGTACTGCTGTTTTCACGGCACTACAGGAATTATTTGCCTAGTCTCCACTTTAGCCATTGCAGCATTAATACAGCCCATCTCAGGAGTATCTCTGTCCTGAACAGCTGAGAAATCTTGTGCCTGCCTCTAATTACGTGTCTTTTCGTGCCCCTACTTTTACCAAGGAATTTGATGAGTCGCACTCAGCAGATTGACGTTTGAGCCTCATTAAAAGCTAATTATGCAAAAGCTCTTTCTTTTGAGCGTGCAGCTATAAGATAAGGGTGGGGAAATGCCAACGAGAAGTTGATAGATCATCCACAGATAAAGACCCATTAAATGCTAATTCTTCCTGCTTTACAGTGCAGAACTTTGTGTGTGCGCGTCTTTGCACATCTGCATGTATCAGTGTAAAGTCGTCAAAAAAACTGCCTTCAACTGCCAGCTTGCTGATTAAAGCATGATGTGCTTGTTTGGTTATTTCCTGATTTTTTTTTTCTCCTCTCTTTGAAAAGCTGCCATGGCCAACTGTGGCTGGACTCTGTTCAGATCTGATTCAACAAAAGATGCTGCGGCTTTGTTTCCTCTGCCTTATTATTGTGTACATGTTCCTCCAGCTGTGTCATTTATTGCGTGCATGTGCTTGCAGATTAATTCTTAAATTATTTTGCCAAAAAATCATTTGCTCATCCTGGTTGTCCGAGAGCATTTGGCTGAAACAAAGGCAACTGTGCTCAATGAACTTTTCTCGCATAGGTTTGGAGGACTTGTGAGAGGCACACATGAAGGGTCTGCTGGTGAGAAACTTCTGCTACTTCTAAATTCAGATCTGAATTTTAAGATAGCAAAAGCAAGCTCTCCATCTGTCTTATTGTGAGAAATCACAACTAGGAAATCCTGCTGTGATTTACAATACTGAACATGCAGGTCTTTGCTGCTTTACTGGGATATCCCTGAGTCTGCATATGCAATCAAAAATAAAAGGGTGGGGGGGGACACAGGTTCTTCCTCTCCAAATTGAATTGGTTTGCTTCTTTGTTCCTCTTCCAACGGGATTTTCTGCTCCGGATTTGGAACTGGCATTGCACATTCTTATGAGGTACAGGCTACAGTAACAGTGCGACCGTGACCTTCTCTTTGTTCTCTCACATATGTGTTTTCATAACCATAGATGCTGAGAGGATTTGAAAGCTTTGTGCTGACCATCAATAGACCCTGCCCCACCGCTGTTAGATGTTTTTTCTCTGTGGTTTTCTGCATCTTAGCATCTACAGTTATGTTCCAGGAGGATTAATTACAGTGGATTATACCATCCTTGGAATATTCCACCGTTTAACTGCTGTTTGACTCATACTGACTCATACTGACTCTCCTGTCTTTTTCTGGACCATACTGAGTAGTTACCCTTCGGGCCATGATACTAAGTTTAGCCCCAATGTAAACCTTCATGCACTGTTGGTAGATCTAGGGCAGGAAAGGGTGTATTCTTCCTGTTTTTAAGCTCCCTAGACACTGTCTGGTCTCATTGGTCCCATACCTCCTCTACCCACATCAATCCCAAATACGTCTGTGATGCTTGTCAGGTCAAGTGGCTCAGGAATGAGGTAATGGCTAAGCCCTTAGGCACATTATCTACTGGATAGGTCCCCCCCCTAATCTTGCCTAAGGCTTGATTGTCTCAATTTACATAGCACCCCCTTACTGCTTTTATTCTTTTATTTCTGTTTGGAACTCACCTATAACCTCACTATTCTTTCCGTGTCTACTGGTTGCGCCTCTTCACGGGTGACTTGCCTTTCTGTAGTTGTACAGTGTAGCTCCAAGGACACTTAGTATCACAGCTGTAGAAACAAGAGAGTGACTCTACTTAGCCTGTCTGCTTTTTTGTTTTCCTTGTGAATCTGGCCCACAGGGGAGCGTGTGTGACCATGCAATTGTTTCCCCTTGTATGTGTCTTACTGTAAACAAAGGGAGTGAATGTGCCTGTCAACATTGCTGCAGCTTGCAGTGGTTGTAGGGGATTATGTAAAACAGTGCTGCAACCTGTTAGGATGTTTAAAAAAAACGTGCGCCGGATCATGCTTAAAGCTGTTCAGGTGGGAGGTCTGGAATGCAGTTTTTAATTGAAGTCAGGTTGGAGATGTTTTCACACATGAACTCCCAAAAATGTTGGAAAAAATTTGGTTGGGACAGTGTCCGAAAGTTTTCCTGTCTCACATGTAGCTCACAGCAGGAGATGGCTGGCATTTAGCTGTGTTGGAAATATTCTCTTTACTTTAGGTTTGACACCTTAACCTAAAGCAAAGTACCCATGCTGTTCTCATATCGGTGCAACTTCAAATAACAGAAACTTTGTATCTGTGTGGTACATTTGCACTCTCACATGCACCTCTGATTGATTAAAAAAGGGTGTAGCATATGTGTGAAATGACTTTTGAGCTACAAACCGTGGTTTGATTAAAAAAATGTACATTTAAAAATGCTTGGTTATCTGTTAGTCACCCACCCTGTCTGTCTTTTCTTTGCAGTGCAAGTGTGCTGGTTGGAGCCCCCAAGGCTAGAACAAAGCAGTTCAACGTTACAGAGGGAGGGTCTGTATTCTACTGTCCATGGAGCTCCAGCCAAACCAACTGCCACACCATCGAATTTGACCTTGAAGGTAAGTCTTATGACTGATATTTACACTCTGGGCTTCATTAGCGCCAAAGAAGTTTTATGCTCTTTTCTAGCTTTGCAATTCAAAAGAAATCCTTCTCCACAGGGCCTTGATGCTGCAAATCAGTTCATCCACTCTCTGAAACAAATAATTTTCTTCTGCCTTCTCCCTCCCTTTATGTCAAATTTCTTCTGTTCAACCATGAGGTTTGATCAGAAGATGTGCTGTGTTTTCAGGCTCAAGGCTGGAGCTGTTTCTCACTGACATCATGCAGAGTTAAAAATGAAAGAAAAAAAATTAGCCAAAGTGGAGGCTTTGGAGCTTTTTACTTCATAGAAGGTTATTTGCACAATCCTGCTATCTGTGCAATGCAACTACACTCCCTTTTCCCTTTAACCTGTTTGTTGGGATATACTGTTTGCTCTTAAACTATTCAGTATTGTTGTTTCTCTGCCCATTTTTTGGAGGCAATCAGAGCATTTTCTTTCTGGAAAAGGAATCATTGTTTTACTCCATTGAGTGGTTGTTGGCTACATTAGTTCCTGGACTTTGGTTGTTCCTTTTTTCCTGTTTGTCTTCTCTTCAGGGATAAAAAGATAATGAGGTGTCAAAAAGTTCTTGAAGGGTACTACTTCCTTCCTCCAGATCATGTTTGTGTTGCCTGGCCTCGGGAGGTATACGGAGATAAGCAACCAATAAACAAATAGGTCGGACAAAGAAATATCCTGTTTGTATGACAGGTGAGGTAGACACTACCAGTCTTAACAAAGAGGCTCCAGTCGAGTCAAAATCAAGTAAAGTGGTTTAGAAGAACACGAGGAAGCGTGTGAGGTTGTCTTAAGAGTGGATTCATGTTTCAGTATGTTGACAGAGTGCCCACAAGCCCTGTTTTGCACAATGGATCCACGGCGAAGTGAAGAAAGAGCAGGTCAAATTATAAACGATGTAGCAAAGACATACTCCTATACAAACACACAAACAGTATGACTCATACATGTAGGAGGACCCCATCACTTCTGGCTTCTTTCCTGGGAAATCAAACTTAGAATTGTTGACCAACTTAAATTTTTTCTCCCTAATCGACAAAGTGGAGAAATATTCCACTGCATGTTTCACAAGCCCTTTTTCCCCCTATTGGATGCCACTGCTTGGTACCCTTTTCTCCACTATTTTAGCACTGCTTTTCTTGCAACATAAAATGTGTCGTGCAGCCATGGATGCTGGCTAAAGGCCACGCGGAGTGATATCATGCACATTCAATGAGCCCTCACGGTCAAGGTTAGTCTCCTGGGCTGTCAGAGTCCTTCATATTTTGAAAATGCTTTGAAAGAGCCGATTAGAGTGCCAGTGCCAGCTCTCACATCTGGATCAGAGTGAAACTGCAGTGCTGTGGAGGAACGCTTAGTCCATGAACATCTGCATGCAAATATGGCTATGACAAGCAGCTGTTACATGAATGACATTTACTGCTGCAATTCATTTACTGCAGCTTTGCCTGTATTTTCTTTGCCAATCATGATAGTAAAGACTAGTGCAATAAAAAATACATTTAGTGATTTTTTTTTTTCTTTTCCCCCAATTTATTCAGTATGAATA